ATTATCTTTCTGATTCTGATGAATTACAAATTAAAATGGCTCAAGGTGCAAAACCCGGTGAAGGTAATTATTTTTTTTATATTTATATAGTTATTATTATATTTGCAAGTCTTGTTGCATATACATACATATATATATAATTTTTTTTAGATTGATATTTAATCTAGTAGTACTTCTTTGAATTTTTTTTTTTTTTAGGTGGTGAATTACCAGGACATAAAGTTTCTGATGCCATAGGGAAAACAAGAAAATCCACTCCCGGTGTTGGTTTAATTAGTCCACCTCCTCATCATGATATTTATTCTATTGAAGATTTAAAACAATTGATTTACGATCTTAAATGCTCAAATCCTCGTTCTCGTGTATCTGTCAAATTGGTATCTGAAGTTGGTGTCGGTATTGTAGCATCTGGTGTTGCTAAAGCTAAAGCTGATCATATTTTAATTTCTGGTCATGATGGTGGTACTGGTGCTTCTCGATGGACAAGTATTAAATACGCTGGTTTACCTTGGGAATTGGGTCTTGCAGAAACACATCAAACTCTTGTATTGAATGATCTTAGAGGTCGTGTCATTGTTCAAACTGATGGACAAATTCGAACTGGACGTGATGTGGCAATTGCTTGTTTATTGGGAGCTGAAGAATGGGGTTTTGCGACCACTCCATTGATTGCTTTAGGTTGTATCATGATGCGCAAATGTCATTTGAACACTTGTCCAGTTGGTATTGCTACTCAAGATCCTGAACTTCGTAAGAAATTTGATGGTCAACCTGAACATGTAATAAATTTCTTTTATTATATTGCTGAGGAATGTCGTCAAATTATGGCAAAACTTGGTTTCCGAAAAATTAATGACATGGTTGGTCGTACTGATAAGCTTAAAGTTAATGAATCTTTACGTAATGCAAAGACCGCAAATATCGATCTTACTCCAATCTTAACCCCTGCATTTACCTTACGTCCTGGAGTTGCTACTCATAACGTTTTAAAACAAGATCATAAACTTTATATTAGATTAGATAATAAACTTATTGATGAATCAGAACCTGCGTTGACAAAAAGAAAAAAAGTTGAAATTGATTGTGAGATTCTTAACACCGATCGTGCACTTGGTACTACATTATCCAATCATATCTCTAAAAAATTTGGTGAACATGGTTTACCTGATGATACTATTCATGTAAGAATTAAAGGTTCAGCAGGTCAATCATTTGGTGCTTTCTTGGCTTCTGGTGTTACTTTAGAATTGGAAGGTGATTGCAATGATTATGTGGGTAAAGGTCTTTCTGGTGGTCGTATTATAGTCTATCCTCCCAAAGTTTCTACTTTTAAATCCGAAGAAAATATTATTGTTGGAAATGTTTGTTTATATGGAGCAACTTCTGGTCAAGCTTTCTTCAGAGGAATTGCTGCTGAACGTTTTTGTGTACGTAATTCAGGTGCTATCGCAGTTGTTGAAGGTGTTGGTGATCATGGTTGTGAATACATGACTGGTGGTCGTGTTTTAGTATTAGGTCCAACAGGACGTAATTTCGCTGCTGGTATGAGTGGAGGTATAGCTTACGTTTTGGATATTACACAAGATTTTAGAACTAAATGTAATAAAGAAATGGTTGATCTCGAAACCGTAAATGATCCTGAAGAGATTTCATTCTTACGTAATTTGATAGAAGATCATCGTCATTATACTCAATCAGAAGTAGCTGATCGAATATTAAAAAACTTTAATCAAGTACTTCCACTCATTGTTAAAATTATGCCGGTGGATTATAAAGCTGTTTTGGAGAAACAAAAACGATTAGCAGAAGAAGCTCAAAAGAAAAAGGAACAACCACCATTACCACAAATCTCTGTAAAAAAAGAGGCAGAACCATCTGTTGTTGATATTGAAGATTCTATGGTTGATGAAGAAGCAGCCAAGAAGAGAGCTGAAACACTTGATAAAGTTCGTGGATTCATGAAATACAAACGAAAAGTTGATAATTATCGAAATCCTGTTAAACGTATCAAGGATTGGAAAGAAATTAATGCTCGATTAAATGATGCACAACTTAAAGTACAAGCTGCTCGTTGTATGGATTGTGGTGTTCCATTTTGTCAATCTGATTCTGGTTGCCCGATTGGAAATATTATTCCAAAATGGAATGATCTTGTATTTAAGAATCAATGGCTTGATGCTTTAAATAGGTTAATGATGACGAACAATTTTCCTGAGTTTACAGGTCGTGTGTGCCCAGCTCCTTGTGAAGGAGCATGTGTCTTGGGAATAAATGAATTACCTGTTAGCATTAAGTCTATTGAATGTGCTATTATTGACAAAGGATTTGAAATGGGTTGGATAATTCCTAATCCACCAGCTATTCGTACTGGAAAAAAAGTTGCTATTATTGGATCAGGTCCAGCTGGTCTTGCAGCTGCAGATCAATTAAACAAAGCTGGTCATACTGTTACTATTTATGATCGTAATGACAGATTTGGTGGACTATTAATGTATGGTATTCCTAATATGAAACTTGACAAAAAAACAGTACAAAGAAGAATTGATTTGTTGGCACAAGAAGGAATTAAATTTGTAGCAAATGCTCACGTTGGAGTAAATGTTGATGCAACAAAAGTTCGACTAGAAAATGATGCACTAATAGTAGCTACTGGAGCTACTTGGCCAAGAGATTTACCTATACCGAATAGGAATTTGGATGGTATTTACTTTGCTATGGAATACTTACAACTTAATACACAAAGTCTTTTGGATTCAAATCTTCAGAATGGCAAATATATTGATGCAAAAGATAAAAATGGTAAAAGTTATTTGTTTTCCGATAAATTTATCAAATCAAGCTATATTAAAGATTCTAACCATAATTTTATTTAATTAGTTATTGTTATTGGTGGTGGTGATACTGGATGTGACTGCATTGGTAATTATTTTATTAAGTGTGAACTTTTTTTTTAATTAAAATTTCTCGTATATTTATTAAATTTATTTCCTACTTTCATTTCAATGCATTTAGGTACTGCTGTACGTCACGGTTAGTATTTATTTCGAACCTATTCATGCTTTAACATCATTTTGGCATATCTGTATTCAATAATTTTTTTTTTTCTTAGGTGCAAAATCTGTTGTAAACTTTGAACTCTTACCCGAACCACCGGCAAAAAGGTATTGGATTTTTTTTTTTCATTATTGCATGATATAAAAGGTTCATATGTTAACTGGTTGCTTTAAATTTTAAAGGGCTAATGATAATCCTTGGCCACAATTCCCACGAGTGTTTAAGGTAAAGCTTGTTATAACGAGGTTATAATTAACTTTTTAACCTTTCAAAATAATAAAAAATTTTTTTTTCTTAATTAGGTTGACTATGGGCATGCTGAGGTCCAAATGCAATTTGGAAAGGACCCACGAGAATATTGGTACATATACGTATTTATTTATATTTATATTTGCATTCTTTTAAGTATGAAATTTTAACACTTTTATTTATATATTTTAGCGTGTTATCTAAAGAGTTTGTATCAGACGGAAATGGGAAAGTAAAAGGTACATTGCACTCTTTTTTCATAGAGAATATCAGACTAGATTATTGATGGTTAATATTTATATATATGTATAATTTAATAGGTATAAATACTATACGAGTAGATTGGTCTAAAGACGCGTCAGGACGCTGGGTAATGAAAGAAATACCAGGAACTGAACAATTTTTCCAGGCAGATTTAGTATTTTTAGCCATGGGTTTCCTCGGACCAGAAGATAAATTGCTTAATAGTTTAGGATTAAAAATCGATCAACGAAAAAATATTGAAACTCCAAAAGGTCGTTATTCGACTGCAGTTCCTGGAGTTTTCGCAGCAGGTGATTGTAGACGAGGACAAAGTTTAATAGTATGGGGAATTAACGAAGGACGACAAGCAGCGCGTGAAGTTGACCAATATTTAATGGGTAATACGATATTACCCGTATCAGGCGGAATTAAACAGCGTACGATCGAGTCCTTGAAACAGATGACGAATTCTGGCTTGGTCGCATTGGCTAGTTAAATTTGCAATATTAGGAACTTTTAGTAGAATATAAACCATTGTATAAAATATTGAATTTTATGTAGTACAAAATTTGTATTATATCTATACATTTTTTTCTTGCATTATCCAATTTATTGTCCGGAGCTAAGAGGAGGATTCGTACTTTTATGTGCTTTGATGACTGAAATTATGTCTTTTGATGCATCACCAATGAAAAAAAAATCAAACGTCCGGAGTTCCGGATATAACGCCATGTGCTTACGTACGTACAAAAAAAAGCCGCATTCGTGTAATGTGATGATTAGTCGCTCCGGACTTGAACTGGTTTCCGGTTCCTAGTATTCTCTGTTTAATTTTGGTATATAGTTATGGAAAGGAATTATTGTTTATATATATTTAAAAATGTTTGTAAAAATTTAACTCTACTTGTAATGATAATTTAGTATATAGTTACTGTATATTTATTATATTTTAATAAAAATTTTTAGATTATGTTTAATTTTTATTCATGGTGCTGTAATGCGTAATTACATAGGGATGGAAATTGTACGGTATAATAAATTTTGGTATAAAATACCAGGTTATTTTACTGTATAAACCTTATATATAATACCTAGAAAGTGCATATAGATTTTTCACGTGCTCACTCATTCCTATGAAAAATTTCATCCACTTTGTTACATTAATATATTATACCAATTATACGGTATTTAATTATACTATACCAATTATACGGTTATTATACCATTTTTATTACGTATACGCCCATCCCAAGGATTA